CACAAGTCACATTTCACATTAAAGACCTATTCCAATTTCCAGAATCGAATTCTGACCCCGATATCAAAAAGTCAACCCCTCCCGGTCAAATTTCCCAAAAAATTCAACTTTCGGCAATTCAAGCCTAATTCCACTACGGACCTCCAAATAATTTTCCGAATACGCTCCTAAACGCAAAATCACCATACGGATCTATTGGAATCATCAAAACTCTATTCCGGGGTCGTTTACACATAAGTTGACATCTGGTCACTATTTTAACTTAAGCTTCAAACCTTGAAACTAAATGTTCCAATTCATTCCAAAACCTCACCGGACTCGAACCAATTACCCCAAAAATTTACACAATAACTGTAATGTATAATTTGAGCAGTAAATAGGGAAACAAGGTTGTAATACTCAAAATAATCGGTTGGGTCGTTACAAGTTGACTTCGGTCAATATTTTAAGCAAACGAATCCGGATCAGTATTTTGACCATTCTGATGGGTCCGTATTGTGATTTAAAATTTGGGCGTATGTACGAAATCAATTTTAGAAGTCCCTAGCTTGAATTATCGCCATTTGACGGAAACTAAAAATTTAAAGGTTTAAAGAATTTCTAAATTTGATCATAATTGGATTTTTGTTGATACCGGGTCCTGATTTGGATTCTGAGAGTTTGATCAACTTTGTAACAATATTTATGACTTATATACAAAATTTAAAGTTATTCCGAGGTGTGTAGGCACATTTTCCATTAGTTTTTGAAAAAATAAATAAATAAAAGGTTTGATTTTATAAAGCTTGAATTTCTAAAGTTTGACCGAAGATGTGACTTTTGAGCAAACGACTCCGGAATAGAATTTTGATGATTTCAATAGTTTCATATGGTGATTTCGGACTTAGGAGCACGTCCGGATTTGGATTTAGATGTCCGTAGGACAATTCGGCGCATTTTGGCAAAAGTTGGAAAATAGAAGATTTTTGGAAAATTTGATCGGGAGTTGACTTTATTGATATCAGGGTCAAAATTCAATTCTGGAAATTGAAACAGCTCCATTATATCATTTATGACTTGCATGCAAAATTTGGGTTCATTCCGGATTGATTTGATAGGTTTCAACATCGAATGTAGAATTTGAAATTTGTTAGTTTTTATTAAGCTTGAATTGGGGTATGATTCATATTTTTAGCGTTGTTTGATGTGATTTGAGACCTTGACTAAGTCCATAATATATTTGGATACTTGTTGGTGTATTTGGACGGGGCCCCGAAGGGGCTCGGGTGAGTTTCGGAGTAGTTTCAGATTATTTTTAACTGCTGGTTTTTGACAGCAATGTGCGAAATATTTGATGCGCAGAGCTAATTTTGGAAGCTTATATATCAAAATCTATAAGGAATCTAGAAATTATCAAAAGTTAAAAGTTGTAGCCCGTTGATTCTAGTTTCCAGAATGATAAACCATTCATCATTTGGACATTTGTACAGAAAGTTATGATCGATTGACTGAACATTGGTACGGTAGATTTTGGCTACAGTAATGTGCATCGCCAGAAATTTTTGCTGTTAAGGACCGACTTTGGGAGCTTATATCTTGCAATCTATAAGGAATTGGGAGATGAAAAAAATATAAAAGTTGTATCCTCGGTGTGTAGTTTCCATAAAGTTAAACCATTCATCATTTGGACATTTGTACAGAAAGTTATGATCGATTAACCGAAGCCTGATACTGCAGTTTTCACTGCAATTTCTAGTTGGAAAGTTGAAGTAGGTCACATTTTAAAGATGCGACCTACCTTGGCAGAAGCTATATTTTGGGGTTTCGGCCATTTTAATATATTTGGAGCTATGGAGCTCGAATTGAAGCGATTTTTGAGGTAATTTTCACCATATGGATTGAGGTAAGTATTCTATATCCAAAAGTGATTATACTTCATGATTCTATGGTTATTTTCATCAAGTATTAGTGAATCAAATAGAAGAAAATGGAAAAATTTGTAAAACTTTTCAAGAACGAAAATTTTAAATTTGGAGGTCGAGTTGTTATAGGCATTTGATAAAATTGGTATGGGTGGACTCGTAATTGAATGAATTGTCGGATTTTATGAGTTTCATCAGATTTCGAGATGTGGGCCCCACGGGCGATTTTTGAGTTAAATTTTAAATTTGTTTGGAAAATTAGTATTTTCATATGAAATTAATTCCTATAATTAGTATTGACTGAATTGAATTAATTTGGATAGATTTGAGCGGTCTGGAGGTCAATTCAAGCAAGAAGGCGATTTTGAGAATATCGGCATAACTTAAAAAAGGTAAGTATCTTGCCTAACCTTGAGTAGGGGAATTACTCCTTAGGCATCGGGTCTTATATGCCATTTGTGAAAATATAAAAAGCCGTGTATGAGAGGTGACGAGTACGTACTCGAGCTTATATGTGTAAAATTTATTGGGTTAAAGTCTTAGGCATATTTTGTAGTAAATTGGATAATTGTGGGCATTTATTAAATTATCTATTTGCCATGCCTCAATTCGCATTTGTTGAATTTATTTTTATATGATAATTTGATGTGATTATTACTTGTATATTTATGTGGATTTCGTGAGTTTGATGATTGATATTTCTTGGAATTTAATTTCATTATGGATTTTTCCTCTGTAAATAATTAATTAAATAAGTTTAAGAAGATGTGTTAGTATATTTACCAAAAATTTGGATTAAAGAAGGTGTTGTCCTATGATGAGTTATTTTTCTATCTCTGTTGTTGTTTTGAGGTTTTATACACATTGCGTGGAGTCTTGGGCTATTTGTTGTGAAATTAATTGATTTTGTTATATCTTTGGAATTGGTTGTGGCCATTGGGCAAATTATGATATGAATTGATTTTGTTATGTTGCCGTGATAATATTCCGTATAAATTGTTTTATTATTTGAGTTATTATTATTTTAAGGATATAAGGGTGGCATTCTACTGTTGATATTATGTGGGTATAAGGGTGGCATTTCATTGCGGTTATGTGTGTTGGGATATTGTCTGGGCGGAGTGATAAGGGTAGCTATAAGAGAGATAAGGGTGGCTATAGGAGTGATAAGGGTGGTTATTGATATTGTCAGGGCGGAGGGATAAGAGAAGCTATTATAAGAGTGATAAGGGTGGCTATGTATATTTATATATTTGACCCTTCTCCGATCAAATATTGGCCCAGTCACAAAATTTTTATATTGTGATTATTTTTATTATGCAACCAACCAAACCACCTTAATACGGTAAACAAAATACTATTAAGTTATTATATTTCTCATGAAAAGTTTTATCTTTTCTAACTTATATGACATAGTTTGGCTCGAAACAATATTTAAAAATAATAAGAATTTTTAAAAGTTGTGATCTTACACATAACATAACATTTATATGATTATAAAAAAATTATAATAAATAAAATATTTAGAACAATCTTTTTTAATATATAAATGTGTCATTCTTTTAAAATTAACTAAATAAAAAAACATATTGGAAACAGATGGAGTATTACTTAATGGAGGAAATGGGCCTTCATGACTATTTACAATGTTAAAATTAAAAAAATATTTTTCTAAAACTTTTTATGTGTAAAAGTAAATTTTTCATATATATAAAACGGTAAAGGGTCAAACATACCCGTGTACTTTCGAAAATAGTCTAAAAATATCCCTCGTTATACTATTGGGCTATATATACGCTTCCCGTCATACATTGGAACAAATATACCCTTATTTTGGATGGAGTACCATGTGGCAACACCAGATGAAAATGACCCATTTCTTATTTTTTACGCGATCCGTTTTAAAAAACCCACCACCCGACCCGTTTTAAAATTAAGTTTTTTCAGTTTTTTTAAAGCATATATTTTTTAAAAACTGAAATTCTTTTTGTAAAAACTGAAAAAAAAAGAAATTTGTAAAATATATATTTTTAAATCTTCTTATTTTTTTAAAAATATTTTTTTTGTAAAAACTGGAATTATTATTATTTTTTTGGTAAAAACTGAAAAAAGACTCTCCTAAAGTAATGGACTACATATGCATTAGTTAAAAAAAATAAAAATATTTTGCAAAGGCTTTTTTTTTTTAGTTTTTACAAAAACAATACTTTAAAAAACTGAAAAAACTAAAAAATATATATTTTGAAAATTTCTTTTTTTTCCAGTTTTACAAAAAAAAAAAAAGAAATTTAAAAATGCTTTAAAAACTGAAAAATTTATATTTTGGTAAAAAAAAAAAATTTGCAATATATATATATATATATATATATATATATTTTAGTTTTTTCAGTTTTTAAAGTATTCTTTTTGTAAAAACTGAAAAAAAAAATGATTTTACAAAATATTTTTATTTTTTTAAAACTAATGCATATGAAATTCACTGCTTTAGGAGAGTCTTTTTTTTTTTTTCAGTTTTTACAATTTTTTTTTCTTTAGTTTTTACAAAAAAAAAACTTTAGAAACTGAAAAGACTTAAAAATATATATTTTACAAATTTCTTCTTTCTTTTTTTTTTCAGTTTTTACAAAATATATGCTTTAAAAAAGCGAAAAAACTGAATTTTAAAACGGGTCGGGTGGTGGGTTTTTTAAAACGGATCGGGTAAAAAAAAATGGGTCGTTTTCATCTGGTGCTGCCACGTGGCACTCCTTCCAAAATAAGGTTATATTTGTTTCAAAGTATGACAAGAATGGTATATATAGCCTAATAGTATAACGAGGGGTATATTTGGCCCTTTGCCGTATATAAAAAGATTGAGCCATAAAATTAAAAACAAATTTATATGACCTGCAAAACTACTTGACCGGGGGGGAGGGGGGGGCGGGGCAAACCAAATGGTTTTCCCATAAATTTTGAATTCCAACCCCCCCCCCCCGGGCCCTACCCCCTAATACGCTGTATATTTTCTGTTGTTATATATTAATTAATTCTATTTTAGAACAATTAAAGAATCAGAGTTTAATTAAAGAAAGAAAACTCGATGGCGTGGCAATCTACTATTTGCTGAGCCGACGTAGAACGGAGAAAAACATGAGAAAAAGAGAGACGAACCACTGATAAAAGCTAAGCGCGTTGAGAAGAAGACCCTCTGGTATTCTGATTTCTGCAACCAAACCAGATAGCTCCAACAAACCATGGCTTACGTCGAGAGAGGTAAATTTAACCTCCCTTTTGTTCTGATAATTCCATCAATTTGATCTTTAATTCCCTTAGTTTCGTTATCAGTTTGAGCCCATTTACTTGTTGATTGGAATTGCTAGGGATTTGTTTCCTTTTTTTCTTTTTTGGTTTCCTTGGAGATATATTACAAATTCCAATTTTTCCGTTATTTCAAGGATTTATTTTTGTCTTGCTAAGTTCTTCTGAATTTTTGAGGTAAAACGAAATTTGGGGTTTTAATTAATTGCATCGTTTTTGTTTTGTCCTGTTCTTGATATTGTTGTAATTCAAAGGGTAACTTGCTTAATTCAGTTAAAGTTAGGATCTTCTTGTTCAATTGAGTCTTGTTAGATCCAAATCCAAATTCTTCTAATGTTTGTTACCGTAGAACTTTTGTCCGACATTAATAAGCTACTCTCTGAGTTATAAATTTGGGCATTCGGTTATCTGGCCTGGACCCTGGAGTATTCCACCCCGCACCCACAAAATGGAAAACAACCCGAAAAATCATATTGTTTGATGCTGGTGTTATGATTTGGTAAACCCTAGTGAACCCCAAATTGCATTTCACCATTCTGGAAATGATTAGTAGCCACTTGGAATGCTAAACTTAGTGATTCAAATTTGTATGGTTCTGTTTTACAATCTATCATTGCCTTTTGTCTCTACAGTGAATCAACTCAAGGAAAACATGATTCTAATAATCATTTCTTATTAATTTTACTATTTTATGTTTTCCAAATTCTCCAACTTGAGAAATGATTAAGAAATAAGGTTTCTTAATGGGTATGTCATATGATCTAAAGAGACCTATCCGTGCAAATTTTGTTTTAGATCTAGTATTAAGTTGTGACTCGTTCCCATTCCATGAACCGAAGCAATCTAATAGTGGTATGTGGATTTAAATTCTTAGAGTAAACTTCATAAGGTCATAGTAAAAGCGACATAGATAAATTTAACTTGTTAGGTAATGCTTAGAGAGATAGATGTCTCAAAGTTTTTGGAAATGGGATTGTTCGAAATACTGATTTTCGTATAATTTTTATTCCACTTCTACTTTAGGATAAGTAGGTCCAAGATAGAACACACTTTCATTTAGCCCCCGACGGAAGAAAGGTGAAATAAGATTAAATGGGGCTGTGGTGTCTCAATGAAGACAATTCAGATATATAGGTTTAGTCTACTAGGAGAATGACATGATAGATGAGTGTGAATCACATACAATTAAAGCAGATTGATGAAATGAAGAAGTGCTGTGCAGTAGGAAGATACTTGACAGGGTGAAAGGCAAGTTTTGTAGAAACAATTGTTAGGCTGGTGATGTTGCAAAGGGAATGAGATGTATCCACAAGATGAAGATTGTAAATATGTGGATGTTAAGATGGATGTGTGGTCATACAATGCACATGATCTAGAAATGATCATATTAGTCAGAAAATATAAATAATAGAGAAAGGGAATAAAATGAGAGAATGTTAGATGAGATGGTTTTTGGCATGTTACATGTGGATCTTCAAATGTAGCAGTCCATAGGTGCACAATATGGTGATTGAAGTTGCTGAAGTGCGAGGAGGTAGATCTAAAATCACCACTGAAATTATCTCAAAGTCCTGCTATCCCTCTGTATTATTGCAGACTTAACTAATAGTATAATGCAATGTGAAAGTAAAGGACTGAGGACTTATATACTATACCAACAATTGAGAGTTGAGGCTTGGTTGGTAGGTCCAAATAAGGAGTGTGAGATTTAGAGAACCTTTTGTTTTATAAAACCCCTTATCTTTGAAAAACAAACTATTTACTATGGTATTGAAATGAAATGGGCTCAAATAAAGCTGACTCCAACTTTTGAGATTGAGACCTAGTATATTGATTGATTACATGGTTAAACTCCTTCAAATATAAAGTTGCATAAGAGCAACAATGTTTCTGAGTTGCATGCTAAGCACTTTTTTAGCTGATTCAGTTGACCTTCCTCAGGTTCTTGCCAGACAAATCTTAAGTTTCTTCTCTGGATCCAAGTCATTTAGAAAATCAAGCTGTCGGTTCGACTCCTTATTGATAAATGTAGTCTGTACAGGGAAACATTCAATACATGCATCTTTGTGTTTGGGTCATATGCTAACTTACGATATTGTGAGAGAGCTCTTCTAATACAAGCACTTTATGTTGCAGGTGTGGTAAAATCCAAGCGTTCTATATGGCGATTGAAGACTATCACTGATTTCTTTTGGTCCATCATCAACTTCATTAGCGTGTTTTTTGCAACTATGTTTTCGGTAAGGATGTTCACTTTCCTGGTTAAGAACTACATAGATACTACTATCATGCTATTGTAGACTATGTATTAACTGCCTCAATGCCTTCATAGATGGAAAAAACAGATGCCTACAGAAAAGGTTCAGGATCCAGCAAGAAGTGGGATGGGGGCGGTCCTGGAGGTCCTGGAAGTGGTCCATATGGTGGTGGTCCACGTGGGCCACCTCGTGGATTGGATAATGTCCAAGGCATTGACCACAGTATGTTCATTGTTTTCGTCGATCTTTACTTTGGTGGTATTTGTTTCTGATAAGTTCTGTGAAATTTATGCAAAAACCTTTTTGGAGAAGGCTTTGGGTATTTTCTGTGTACATAAAGTTTACAAATATCCAAACCTATTTTACGCTTTTGCATAAAATGTTCATCCAAAAATAATTTTCCAAAATACCTCCTCCTAAAATTGTTTCAGAGCTATTATTTTATAAGAATTTCTGCTGTTTTTTAACCCTTACATTTTTTCCTAATGTAGGCTCTCTTCCCGCCTGTGGTTCTTGCTGCGGATAAATGATGCCACTTTTGAGAATCCATGGTTTGGGATCTTATTCCATAAACACGTACTTAATAGTGAAATGTATGTAGGTTTCTGCACTTGTGCTTACATTTAAACTTGGAAGCGTGTTCATATGTTCTGTTCATCCTAAAACTTTAACAAAACTAAGATAGTTTTCTCCTATTTTTCTCGTTAATGCCTAATAGTGACGTTGTAAGAAGCGCATGGATATGGAAAAGAAAGACTGATTCACATTCAGAACTGTGCTTAAAATTCTGGATGAAATTGACATTGACCAGTAGAAGTTGTGGACGAAAGTTGCTGTTTTTGTTTCAGGGATATTCGTACAAATTTTCCTCCAAATTCTCTGATACATCATTAACCTCACCAGGATTTATTTTGATATTAAAGCCGCACTTTCATATTCTCCATCAATCTTAAATTTCATGCTCGTCACCCTACCAACACCAAAATGGTTTCTATTTTTCACGGTTTTCATATGTTTCTTTCCGTTTGTTTAATTATTATTTAAGTTTCGATGCGCTTCTATAATTATGAATTGATCAACAAACCATTGGCTAAGGTAGGCTTGGCTCACAAAATGTGTCCTTTACATTGATTTCTAGCTAGTTGAAGGTTACTTCATCTTACAGATCAAATTCATACCAACTGTTGTGCGTCATGTCATGGATTGCCAAATCAATCCAATATCAGGGAGTTTATGCGATGTGTTCAAATGATCTGCCACGTTGAGTCGAGTCAAATTAAGGGCCAGTGATCTAAAGCTGTCAAATTATTCAAGTCACATGTTTCGATAATACCCTAAAATTTTCACTAAACTATCATGTATTTTGTTAATTACCTACTTAAATTATTCAGTGTCCCCCAAACCTTTTGAACTATATTCCCTATATATTAAAAACCCTATTGATTTTTTAACGGTGCGTGTGATACACGCTCTTAATTAACTTTAAATTGTGCCAAGTGGCGGCACTACACGTGGCCAATTAGCTCAGCCTAATTGAAATACCACTTCAATTAAGATCTGAATCGTGATTTCTCCATTAAACTTCGGTTGAACATTATTTATTTCCATTAACCTTCGATTTCACTAGGACTTTTTGTTTAGTGTGAGATTTGGGATATAGGAAAATTAGGGTTAGGGTATTCTTTCAAGAAAGAAAAATTATGGAGAAATGAATAAAGGAGAAAGCATGGAAAAAAGGCAATTTCAGAAGAAACAAGAGGAGAAAATTTCAGATGGAACCAATATAGAGAAAAGAAGAAGAAGGAGAGGAGGAGGAGGAGGAGGAGGCGGCGGCTCGAATATAAAGAACATATAGGGGAAATAAAATATTAATCTTTCTTATAGAGGGTAACACTAATTAGTCTTTCGACACTGCCATGTGGGGTTATTTTTACGGCTAATTTCATTCTCACGCGCCTTTTGACGAGTTATCTCATACATTTTGTCAAAACATCAACGGAGAATTTAATATATAAGAGGATATAGTTCAAGCTTTCGGAGGATTTTGGGGATACCAAATACTTTAAGTACTCGCAAGAGTGACAATTTAGGGGGAGTATGGGGACACCTTCGTCTTTGATTTGCTAAACTCAGAACTATGGTGGGGCTACTTACAATGACTTTAGACATCCAAAATTTCTTTTGACAATTTCATTTTACGTTATTTTTCTTTAATTACAACATAAGGTAAATGGAATAGTTTTCGAAATGGGAAAGTCTTAATGCAATATGAAGTAGTAAAGCAATTTTTTTTCTTAATTTATGAGAACACACAAATTGTTAGTATAATTAAAATACGTGCGCGCGCGCACACACTAGACGGGAAATGACGTTTCGTATCGGACAACTTGCTTCTAGATGCTAATGTTCAATCTAGCATAGAGCTTTCATTTTTAATTCACAAAATATTATGTCGCTTCTAATTTTCTCTACGGAAACAGATTATCTGAAGCAATTTACAATTAGGAAGTATTCTAATGCTAATTGATGATAAAACCACTGACGAGTGAATATAAAATAGTTCACGATATCTTCAAACTAGTTGGAGAGTCTGTGTAATAATAGTTCTTGAAAATTGGAGATGAAAAGATATTTTTTTCTTTTTAAAAGTAAAATTAAGAAATATAAATATCTAATAATGCAATGGAGTTTGGTTCATTGAATTTTTGTGGACAAGAAGTTAACATATACAGTGAAAACCAATTTCAATTCTAAGGAAACTCTTCTGGTTTGCTATTACTGTGAGAAAACAAAACAACAGCTCATGTGCAAGGAAAACAAATTAAATAGAAATTCTGAAGCAAGTTTTGGGAATAAAGAACAGAATGTGAACATGCAAAGCTTGACTAAGAAACAATACAGTCAGTTGATTGCCCATTTGCACTGCTGCAGCATATATACGCAAGTAATTAATTACAAGATGGTACTTAATTGTAAACGCAAATGTAATAACTCAGCTGTTAGTCTTTAATTATAGGTTCGAGAGCAACCGATCATATGACATGAAATAAATCATTACTTACAATTTACAAACATATAAATTCTTATTTATCTATATATTACTTCGTTACCTTGCTTAATGGTTACAAAGTACTTAACGTAATTTAAGGATGATCTTCATATTTTTTCGTGCTTTATTTAATTTGTTCTTCGTAGAGTCTTACATGTCCCAACTTTCAAATTTAACTTGATTTTTGTCCATTCTTTGGCTAAAACAATTCAATTCAATTGTATAGCTCTACTTTAACAGATTCGAGGGCACTAGAATGGATCGTGCTTTTTTCTTTTCCATCTGCTTCTTTTTCTTGCCTATGCAGAATGTAATACTAAATAAAGATATGTGTACACACAAGTCATCAGTACCTTATATTTCCTACCATATCTCACAGTTTAATTATGTAAAACTAAATTCAACTAGATGTTTGACTTTCTCTATTCTTATCTTCAAGCAACCTTAACATTTTATGGATGACAAATTGAGTCATGTGCCGTTCTTAAGATGATTAATGGCATTTCTTCCATTTTTATAAGTAATTGGGTGACAAAGTCCCAGCAAACATACTTGTGGAACATATGCTTATGAGGGAAAGGAAACATGTGCATCGTTCCTTGCCTAGGACAATTGAAGGAATGTTTATTAACTATAGATATTTCCTTACAACTATGTAGTAGTATGTAAGATATGGCCTAAAATTTTCCATAGCAAACTTGGATCCAAAGTATTCAAACTTGGAGCCAAAGAATTCTAGTTTGGAGCCAAAGAATAAAAGTATATTCTTTTATTCTTTTTTCTTTACTTGGGACCAAGAACTTTGCCCTATAAATATAGACCATCTTACTTCATTTGAATCATCCCATATTTTGATTAGAAACTCATTTGAGTATTCTTGTAATAGAGAGTTTTATTATATTTCATAGAGTTAGTGTTGGGAAACACTTTGAGTGAACCTCTTCTTTGTGAGTGATAGTAGCGAGGTTATTCTCTTGGGATATATTTTGGGATAATTAGAGTTTCATCTCTAATTTTGTACTCTTTATTATGTGCCGGTTGTTATAGTAAAATTGCTCCTCTCCACTTGTGGACGCAGGTCACCTTGACGGAACCATGTTTAATATTGTGCCTCTTTTATATACTTTAATTGTCGTTATTATCAACTTGCATTGTCTTTGTTATTGTCATTATAACTTTGTTTGGCTAAATTTTGCACTACCCGAATTTCCGATTCTAACAAATTGGTATCAGAGCCGGATCTAACCGAGTTAGTTTAAGTAGCCAATATGACTCTAACAAAGATTTATGTTGAGAAATTTAACCGAAGTGCAAACTTCGGGATGTGGCAATTAAAGTAGGAAGCTATCCAAATTCAGGATGGCTTAGACTTGGCGTTACAAGGAAAGGAGAAAAGGCCGGATAAAATGACGGACGGGGAGTTTGCTATCATAGACAAAAAGGCAAAATCAGGTATCATGATAAATCTCTAAAATGAGGTTTTACGTGAAGTTTCTGTAGAAACTACAGCCAAAGGCATGTGAAAAAAATTAAAAATCTTGTATATGAAGAGAACAATGGGAAATAGACTTTACCTGAAGCAGAAGCTTTATACAATTCGTATGGGTGAAGGTACCTCTATTCTCTCTCATCTTGACACCTTTGATTCCATTCTTATGGATTTGTGTTATATAGGCGCAGAAATTAAAGATGAGGATCAAGTCGTATTACTGCTTTGTTCTCTACCCCCATCTTTTAAGTATATAAGAGATACTATGCTTTATGCAAAAGATAATATCTCTTATAAGGATATTAAATCTATCTTAAAATTAAAAGAACAGATAGATAGTGATATTACTGAAAAAACTATTGAAACTCAAGCAGAAATTGGCTTGTTTGTTAGAGGTAAATCCGACTCAACATCCAGATACAATAATTTAGAATGTCTCTATTGTCATAAGAAAGGTCACATTATCTCCGAATGCTATAAGCTGAAGAATAAAGAAAAGCATAAGGAAAGGAAAACTGAGCACAAAGATGACACAGTCGAAACTAGTGTAGCTACTGATAAGATTGATGAGGGAACTATATTTTTAGCAACTAAAACTAGTTTCAAATCTGACAATGAGTGAATTTTAGATTCCGGTTGTTCGTATCATATGTATCCCAACAGAGACTTACTTTCTACATATGATTCAATTGAAGGTGGAGTTGTCCAATTGGGTAACAATGCTACTTGTAATGTTATGGCAAAAGTACAATTTGGATAAAAATGCACGATGGTGTAGTGAGAACTCTCACCGATGTTATATATGCTTCTGAGTTGAAGAAAAATGTCATCACTTTGGGCACTTTAGAATCTCTTGGGTGCAAATTCACTGGTGAAGGTGGAGTTCTGAAAATTTTTCAAGGTGCTCTTGTGATCATTAAAGCACACAGATCTGGTTCATTGTATACTTTATTGGGATCTATTGTTGTAGGCACTACTACAATTTCGATTTTGATGGCATTAAATTTTGACATAAGTCCATTGGGGCTTTACTGGAGGTGCAGTAAAATAACTATATCATCCAATTTAGGCCATGGTAGAGATTTGTAAGATGAGGCCTAAATTTGTCCATAGCAAACTTGGAGTATTCAAACTTGGAGCCAAAGAATTCTAGCTTGAAGCCAAATAATAAAAGTATTTTTTTAATTCTTTTTTCTTTACTCGGGGACCAAAAACTTTGCCCTATAAATATATGCCATCTTACTTTATTTGAATCATCCCATATTTTGATTAGAAACTCATTTTGAGTATTCTTGTAATAGAGAGTTTT